TAGAAATTTGACAGTTCGGTTTAGATAACAATTATGGTTGTTTATTTAACTGAACTTTATTTAATAAAAAAAAAGAAACTTTTGATTTTTGTCAAATAAATAAATTTTTATCATTTAAGAAAAAAAGATTGTAACAAAGGTAAGTTGTTGCTCTTGCTCGATAAGTGTCTGCAATACCTGCTCTTTGTTTATCAATATTATTATGTATGTGGTAAGGACAAAATAATGATGTCATTCTTAAGTACATATAGAAGAAGAAATAACTGGAAAAAGATATCAGGTTGTTCTATTTTGTACGAAGAAAGGACGAACCACTAACCTCCATACAAAGTATACGTAGAGAGATAGACATATGACTAAGAGAAAAAGGGCCTTGCGGACATTTTTATCGAGTACGACCAAAAACTTATATTTGTTACAGAGATGAAATAAAACATTCAAAAGGTTGTTTTCATATGATAGATAGATCGAGAACTATACGGTATGAAAATAAAATATATTAATGAATATTCTTTCATATTAGCATATGACCTAGATATGTCTTATTGAATTAAAAAACCAAGTTTATGCATAAAAAATTTATAAAGAAAATTTTTTATATGGTTCATTTTTTTCTATGATATCGTAAATTTTTTGTGAACCATGAGAAACAATTTTTTATCCGGTTTTCATTTTAACAAAACATTTCGTTATCATTTTGCTTTAATTTTAAAGATTGATAAGAAAAATTGTGATCCTAATATTTTGAATAAAAAAAACATTCGTCACATTCACTTTATATAGAAATAGGGACGTCGTCATCTTTGCTTGAAGATATATTTATGTATTTATATCAATTTTTCAAAAATAAAGGACTTAGTCTTTATTAATTTTGTAAATCGAAAGAGTTTCTTCCTATTTACTCTATAATAGAGAAAAAACAAGGTCTCTAGTCATAATAAAAAATGAGCATTGCTTTTTATTATTTCATTTAAAGCAAAATATCTTATAACATTATTTCAAACTTCATTCAACACACGATAGACGAGTTTTGATCTTTTTACAGTTAAAGTGTTATAATAAAGTAATGAGATGATAACATGATAAATAAAACGTACAAGTTTGAAAATGTCATTATCTATTAGAGTTAGTGGAATTGTTCTCTACAGTGCTTTGTAAAAGACAAATCTCAAAGACAAATACGTTTAGTTAAAGAAACAGTAATTAGAGATTGAAGGACTAAATTACAAAGGGCAATTGTTTTAGTTTGCATTTGACTAGTTTCCTCTTTCCATATTTACAAAGCGTTAACTAAAAGAAATCAACTATCATAGTTTCAGTTTCCGATCCTATTTACTCATCTCGTTTTTAATCCATGTAGGATTATTTCTCGAATAGCTATTGTACATGTTGGATTAAAAGAAAAAGCCAAGAAATAAAGTTTGAATTTCATTTTTCAAAAAAAGGCTTTAGTTTTTGTCTGAAGAGGATGAAATCAGAATCAACAATTCATTGTTGAAGTAGAACAAAAAGAAGCCCACTCATTTATCCTGAATTAGTCTCAACAATATATTTACATAATTAAGAAATTTGTTGTGTTCTTATTTATGACGATTTTAATTATGGAAAATTAAAAACAAAATTATTTCTTTTCTTCCTACTAGCTAGATATATCTAATGCAGTCTATTGGTTTAGCTATCCTTGATTCGTAATTATATATCTTCTGTTCTAACCTAGATCACCGCTCCAGCCAACAGAGCAAGAAAAAAATAACTTGTTCTTGTAATGTGCCTCTGAGATGAGCTGACCATCATGTGATGTTGCTGGTAAGCCTCTTCGGACGCGTCAGGTGTTTCAACGTACTTCTGGGTGCTTTGAGATGCGTCTGTTTTTAAGATGCATCAAGATGTGTTTTACTAATAGCGTTTCAAACGCATCTAAATGCGTTTTCTGGTGCCTTTAGATGCAAAAAAATTTTTACATAGGAAGGCGCTGCTAATAAGCCTTCGTAAAATTTCACGAAAACGTTATAATAAGATTTGACACAAGATTTTATTAGATCAAGATTCGTGATTAAATTTTTCATAAGCATGTAAAATCTTGCTCCATCATTGCTCCTCCTGTGTGAACGCACAGATATGCTCGTAATACAATTTAGATTGTATGTAATCTTAGATGCATAGTCAATACGATAAATAGATCTTTAGGAAAATATTTTGCATATAATTTAAATAAAGATTTTTGTTTGTTTCGTTCTATTGTATAAAGCATATTCTCTGCGTGAAGTGAAATCATTTTTCCCGTACACAGTTATTGAAAACTTGATTGATTTCGATTCATATGAATGTAAACGGATAAAAAGACATTCCGTTCTTTTAGAAGCCCTTAGTTATTCAATCGAGAGCTAAACGATCATCATTCAAAAAGAATAAAGGAAAGTTAGTGCGACCAACAAAAAAAGGTAAGAAAAAATACAACTTTTGATCCTTTCAAAACTTTTACTTGTCTTTATCATTTGAATTCAAGGAAAAATAACAAGCAACAAGATCACAACACAGAAAAAAGATCAATATTTAAACAAAGGTACACAAGTATTTCAGAATCATAGAATTTACTGAATAAATAACAACAAAATGAATGTATTTATGCAGTCAATAATATATAGTTCTAATAACGATGTTTACTTATAGTATCGACATTTTACTCAACACATCGAGCAATGCAACGAGTAGGCTACCTAGCATAGATAATGAGTGAAATACAGCCAACGTTATGGTATTGAATTTAGTATACAAAGATTTAACATTACATACAATTTGATATAAATAAAAAGAAGTGCAATGTGATACAGTACTTTCTGTTCACTTACTAGTTAGAAATTATTTTGCTACAAATTAGTGAGTCCCTAACAGCCCATTTTCTCTCTGAAGATGTCTATAAAGTGACTCAAGCAGAAAAATATACGAAATTTAAATTCAGTGGCATTTTTCCTTCGTTTTTATATTTAACTTTGGAGAGCAATATCTTTTGTGGTAAGACTAGATTTGGTTTCAAAACATCTCATTTTTGTCAGAAAAGAATCATTACTCGGCATCGAGATTAGGGTAAAATTCTGCAATTTTCGCAAAAAAATTGTCATTTTTCTTCTGTTTTACGCATTGAACCAGAGTATATAGACGTAGAGAACTCGAGATTGTTTTCTTTTAAATGTAGATAATATAGAGAAGTATGGAACGACATTTGAACAATACTATTCAAATATTTTCACTGATGAATTTCTGTCTCGGGCTGCTTGCTGTTTCTTCTACTTTTTCAATTAAAGTTCTAGGAAAAAAAGAGTTCTTTTAGAAAATGTGGTTATTTCATGGTAAGGTACTCTCTCCATAAATCTTTGTCGACCCGGGTAAAAGTTACATTTTATCAAGTCTTAATTACGAAAAGTTACATAAAATAAATAAAAAGTAGAAGTAGATTGTATTAGATAAGTCATATGATCTTTTTTTTGCAAGAAGATTCTATTTATGTTTTTCTTATGTTGAAGTGATTGAGCAACTCAATCAATTTCGATGCGATTTATTGATAAGATGCTGTCGCTTTGTGTATAATAAAAGCTCTTAAAGATATTTGATGCAAAACATATCGAGGATATCATTTATAAGATATTAGTATATTACATAAGTAAAAATCGATCTCAACTGTCTGACGATTGAGTCTTCTCTAGTAGTTAAAGTTTTATTAATTTTGTTAGATTTCAAATGAAACCACTTAGGAGACAAGAAACTGCTACTCGCAAGTAGTTCATTTATTCAGGCTTGAGCAAAGATGAAACAGATTGGTACTCTTAAAAATGTCTATCTTGTTGAGTAATGAAGCTTTTATCACTTGAGTAATTATATAAAATGTACTTTGTTTTGTTGCTCAAGAACGGTTGAGATTTTATGTCTCCTTGAAAAAGAAAATACTTGACTACTGGTTGATTTATATGAATCGACTAAAAAGATTATTTTCAAAGCTAGCAGCTTTACTATGTCTTATAGGGAAGCATATGCAAGCGTGTGTGTTTTCACCATAACACAAGTATCAGTTGGCGAGTAGATTTTTTCCTTCGAACTGAATCAAAATGTTATTCAGATGTTTGGCGTACAAAACTTCATTACATTCGATTTATATGTAGAAGAGATGTCATGCAGAAAACGAAACAGATGAACACACTGACTAACATTACTGTATGTTCCTAGTTTTCATACAAAAAATTTTTAAACTTGTGGAATAAAAAGTTTTACAAAAAGAAACTTATCTGTGTCATCGATTCATAGTTACAGTTAATAAGAAAATCAAATCAAGCGAATCAAAAGTCTAGTAAAGATCATGTTCGAGATGAGTTAGAAAAACAAGATTTTTCTTTTTTAGGGTACTTATTATACATTGAAAATTTATAACAGCTTTCTAATATCTTTGTTAGAAAGACGGCATAAAACTGGAAGATTATCCTATCAAAATGCTAATCCATAGTGAGGAAAATCTAGAATTTTGATGAATGAAAAACTACACAAAGAAACGACTTATAATCATAGGAACAATATCTAACAAGTGGATTTCACAGAATCTGTGAGAGATTCATTTTTTTTTGCGCATAACTTTCTACATGAAAAATCATCTTTAACTTGAACTTGCAATTATAAAGTTACTACATGCAAGTGATAACACGGAGATTAAGACCGAAAATATGAAATAAAGCAACTATCAAGTAGAGAGAAAAATCTATAAAATGAGTTTTTACATGGTTGAAGAATCGAAAAGTATCGCATCGACTTGAAAAAAACAAGTGAACATCACTTAAAAACAATCACTAAGCCAATAATTTGCTCAATTGAAACTTTTCTGTTCGAAAATTATTTATATTCTCCAGCGTACTATCTCATGCTCAAAAGTGATAACATAGTTCGAAACTGTGTTTACCTAATTTTATGATTTTTTTCAAATACTCAGTTGACCAGCTGATAGGTAATGGATCAACTAAATGGAAACATGTTGGGATACAGTGACACGTGATGGTGAACTTATTAGCCCATATGACCTTGCGTTCGGCAGTAAAAACCAATATTTTTACGTAGCAGATTTTTACAATGGTCGTATTCAACGCTATTCAGTTAACAGTGGTGGCAATCAAACTGGCGTAACAGTACTGAACATGACTGCGAGGACTGGGTAAGAGTCAGAAGCTCTTAGATCTTTTTTTTTGTACTAGAAATAATAACACTTAACATTTCGATCAGATGGGAATTAAAAGTATGAATCAATGGATAAGATGAAATAATTGATTTGAGGAATAGAAGACAAATATAAATAGAAAAACGCTTCAGTATATTTAGATTTGTAGACTATCATAACGTCACATTTAACACCAGATGTATTCTCACAGCTATTATTTTAATTTTATAATTTCTACATCACAAAGAACGGTTATCTAAATATCTTTATGGTGTGCTTTATGTATAATACAAGACTGAAAAATGTTTTATTTGTTCAGCGAATTGTATTGGAAGTTAATCAAGCTTATCTGAAAGCCTAATTAATAGCTTGAAGTGGAATTTATTTTGCACGAGGACAGATCTTGAAATATAAAATTGCTAAGAATATATTTTTCTTATTCTTCTAGAACATTTCGCGGGTTTTATGATGGCGTGTTAAACAATCCGGGCTCAGTTTTTGTTGATAAAAATGATAATATATTTGTTTGTGAAACATATCGTCCACATCGTGTACTAAAATTATCACCGAATGGAACATTAACAACAGTGATTGAACCAAAAGATAGTATTATCCAAACTTGTTCGGGAATATATGTTGATAAAAATGAAAATATATATTTGTCGGATTTTGACCAATATGCTATGTTGAAATTTGATATAAATGAAAAAAAAACGGCATGGTAGTGGCTGGTGATAATGGTTATGGTCAGGCACCAAACCAATTATTTAATCCAGTGGGTATTTTTGGTGCTGAGAAAACCGGCAATATATATGTTGCTGATCATACCAACTAACGCATTCAACGTTGGTCACCCGGTGCCAAAATAGGCGTTACTGTATGTGGTGGAAATGGTAAAGGTGATAATTTAAATCAATTAAATCGTCCATGGCCAGTTTTTGTTGATAGTAATGAGAAACAAATTTATGTGGGTGATGGTCTCAATGGTCGTGTTGTTCGTTGGTCAATAGGTGCTAAAAAAGGTGAAATTGTTGTGGGTGGTAACCAAAGTAGTAATAAACAAAGTGAACTATCTCGTGTTGGTGGAATCGGATTCGATGCAGATGGAAATTTATATGTTACGGACTTTGACGAAGGTGAAATTAAAAAGTTTTTGATTGATAATTAAATTAGAACTCTATATTGAATTTTCTCTTCATATTTTCTTTCCTTCATAACCTTCTTTTATGTTTAGCATAGTGAGCAATAAATCAAAATTACATAAATTTATGTGTATGGCACAACTGAAGTATGAAAGTATGATGTAAGATATGACCGAGTTAATTATGAATCATCTAGGATTATATGAGAAAAGATATGCCTGTGTAAAAAGTCATGCATGATTTTCTTGGAAACGAGGATGGGAATGTGTGGCGGATGTGAGTATGTGTTTTTTGAAAGAAAAGTTTAATTAACAATGTCGTAAAACAAAACCGAGAAGACCAACTAAAGGATAAATAAATTAGAAAAAATTTTCATAATTAAATAAATAAATAAATGAATGAATAAATAAACAAGTAAGTGAAGAAAAGCAAATGAACAAAATCAATTACTTTTGTTTTAGTCTTTAAGTATCTTTTAGATTTTTCTTTTAGCTTTTTATTGAGTTTTATGTGTTTTGTATTTTTTAGAAATATGAACCGAAAAAGAACTATTTTTTTAATAAGTTTGAGAGAGAAAAGTGAGGTTGTGAGTGTGGGTCTCTTAGGAATAACATTCTATACCCACACCCTAGGCTATATAGGAGGGGCTCGACAAGAATAAAATTTTCCTATATTAATACGAGTTATAATTCAATCAGTATTCGTTATTGTAATAGTAAATTTACTAATTAGAAAGATCAATATTCATCATACAGTACGATTGAAAAACACTACGACTGATTCGAAGATAAACAGATGCTAGTAATGTTATTGCTCCAAGTTCAATATTTGAACACTACTACACTTATTACATATGGCTAAGATCTGATCAATATGGAAATAACTTACAATATCTTACATCGAAGTACTATAATCATCGAATGTCTCCCATTGTATCTGTATATTTATTGGTTATTTAATCAGATAGGTTTCTTATGTCTGAACCGAGCATAAGTGATAACATTTTCCTGCGTAATATTTTTCATGGAAAAAACTAACAATGCAGCGATGACATAGTAAAATATTATTGCGAACTATAGTATTTGTATAGTATATACTCTATTCTGAATTGATATATATATATATAGATAAATATCAAAAACTCTTGGTATCTTATATTTGCGCACTTAGTGCTGATAAAAAAATTCTTGTATTAAAAAGAACACATACTTGATTATGATTGTCGCTTGCTGCTGCTCTCTGCTATCTAATTGAGAAAAAAAATTATATAAAACTTATTCGATACATTAAATACTGATTCAATCAGTAAATACACTTTATCAGTATAAATATTTTATGCAAATGTCATATTATGGAAATGTTCTTTTTCTGTGAGAAAGAAAAAAAAAACATGTGGATTTTTTAAAACTTGCCACCTGATTATTGTCGCTACTTAATAGAAATACAAATAAATGAAATTGACTCTTACGCTTTCCGCAAAGCAATATCACTTATCGTTTAGCGACATTTTTCTTTGTTCTTTGGTCGAAAACGAATTCGAATGATAACTAAGACAACTTCGTCCATAACAGAAAGCAAACTACATTACAGCATCTAGCCGACGAATATTGTTGCTTGAAAATGAACGCGTTAATGAAGTTTTATACTTTAAACTGAAAAACATAGCTCTCAGAGTATAACTCATAGAGAATTCGCTCATTGCAAATTGCATCACTTTAACTAAAGCTGATAGATTATTTTAAATACAGTTCTAAAAGGTGTGCATTAGGGCAAAATCAACAAACTTTTCAAAACAGTTTTAAAATTGATTCTCTAACCATGCGAACGCAATTTTTCATCGGTTAGTCATTCATCCATGCACTAAAAATACCTGCATTCTGTAAGAAGGTACACAATTTTGATTGATATATTAACTTTCAAATGTTAACACGTGTTGAACTAATATGAATTTTATACTGCATTTTCTTTCTAGTTTAGAGGAAGCCAAAGCATTTCATCATTAGCAGCTATGAGAATGTAATTAGTAGAAAATAGCTTTCTAAGCAGATCTTGATTTTGTTTGTTTTTTCATTCAATATGATGACTGACAAAATTGCTTTGGTTACTATTTATACTACAGCAACTGGAAAAGACACTCGTGAAAGAACTAATCAATAATAATCAGTTTAAAACAATAATCCTTGCTGATCGTCGAAAAATTGATTACACTGATAATAAATATCTTGAGAAACAGTATTCTATGAAATCGATGCTATAGTACTTTGATTATTAGACAAGGATTGTCTATTTTCTTTCGAAAACATATGTGGAAATGCAATGGCTTCTCAGAAATTTTGCATTAGTAACAGAAGTTGTTAATCTATATTGAGATAAATCGCTTCAGCTTCCTGATACTTTTCCATTGCCAGTTGTTATTCACTATATGTGTGACAACCTGCGATATTTCCTCACCTGTATTGGATGGATAATTGGGAATCCATACTTTGATACTACACAGAATAATATTATTTGTGCATATAGAAGACGCTTAAAACTTGACATAGATGTCAATTCTCGAATGTTAGCTTTATGAAGAATATGAAAAGCGGAATTAATTGAATCGAGTCTATTCACATTATATTCGGAAATACCCAAGACTGATCAATAATCTGATATAATTCACGTAGATCAATTTTGTTTTTTTATTTCTTCAAGAATAACATGAAATAGATTTTGATAGAATTGATGATCATCATGCTGAAGCATTTCGAGATGCTGACGTATATTTTTGTTGTCTTGGTACTATAAAAGAGACAAAGTTAGAGCAGTAAGTTTGAACTTCATTATGCTCAATCTAGTTGTGATTTATGTCATCGAAGGATGGTTTTCGTCGAGTCAATTATGACTACCTCGTTGGTTTAGCACGTCTTCATAAACAAGAAGAATGTAAACACTTTCATTCAGTATCAAGTCAAGGTATGTTTAACAACAAAACTCTTAAAGAGTTTCTCATTCTACCAGTTTCTTTCTAATATTATACAAAAATAAATCACAATTGAACGTGAAGAGAAGTTTAATTTAGTCAGCTGCAAAAACTTGAAACTTTTGTTGCAGTTTCTATTCCTACAAACTTTCAGTCTGACTATTGTTTAAGAAGAACTATATAAGTTGTTCATAATGAATCTGGAGGTTTGAGTGTGAGTGTGACTTTGGATGTCAGTGTAGGCGTCCTTCTTTTCTTCATCCACACCCACATCCCAAATCCTTGTTTTGTAATAAAGTTGTATGTATAGAAATATAATACTCTAAAGTTAAAAAGAATTGATGTTTTATTTTTAAACAATTTTTGTTGATCTTTGAATATAAAAAATATTTTTATTTATTGTTTATATCTATTGTACACGTTTGTAAAGTTTATGCACTTTTGCTTTTCCACATTCGGACATCTTAAAAGAAGATATATAAATATATTATATTTAAAATATTTTGTAAGGATCTTACAATTCTAAGTTGATCATTTGTATCTACCCAACGTGTTATCATTGATTCTTTATTAGTTTGATTTCGCATCTTTTGAATCCATTTACCATCTTCAAATCGAACAATTCCCTAAAATAAATAAATATTGATGAAATTCATTACTACAATAAAATATGTTCACTTTAATTTGACGTCCATCGGGTGTAGTTTCTTCATATTCAACGTCTGGTGTAAATTCTAGTGTTATTGTTTTAAAAATAGTTTTCGTACAAAGAGTCCATTTTCCATCTTTTTCACTAATAATTAATTGTGGTTTAAGACCTTTAGCCATCATACGTTCCATCATTCCAACACCAAGTTCCTTTAAATATTCGTCATTATTATCACCATTGACCTTTAAATTATACAAAAAAATTTCTTATTATTACATTGTTCTTAAATTGTGTTATATACATACATAATCCCAGGTGCCTTTCAGACGTTCAATATTGTTGCTCATAGTCATTGATCAGAAGACAAAATTAATGACAATAACAAAAACAATTCTATTTCAAACAAAACATAAGCAACAGAACCGAACTTATGCAAATAGGAAAATAAAAAGTAAATGAATGAATTCATAAAAAGATATATATTCATCTTATATTATATTTGTGTTATAAAATAAATCATTAATCCATATTATCAAAAAGTTAATATATTTAAAGATGAAATGAATTATCTTTTATTAAACAAATAATTTATATTGTAGATTTAATTCTATCAATTTTGAATATTTTCATAATTTTATTCGTAAAAAAAACTTATCAGAAAAAAGTATTTCTTTTATATTCATAAATAAAAATATTTCCTAATGTGAAAGATTGTTTTTGTAGAATAACATATATCAAATTATTCTCTCAAATAAAAAATCCAAAGAGTATTATCAATAGATTTTATTAAAATAAAAATCGAATAATATTTTAATTAATAATCAACGAATTTATTTTTCAATGTTATTAACTTTAGAAAAGTAAACAATGATTTATGTCAACCTCAGTCTCGATAATGTTATCACTGTCAATCTAATTTATATGAGACAGATGAAATCTCGTCTTCTAAACGTGCAACATATTAGATTTTATTCAGTTGTCTATATAACTATTTAAAGTGAAAAATTTCTTACCAAACGATATGTATATCTTCACCTTGACTGATTTGTGTGATTGTATTGCATTTTTAAGTGCACGAAGTGTATCTCATGAAGAAGCAAAGAGAAAATATATTGATGATTTATAAGATGCATAGGTTTATTTATGTTCTCGATTATTTTTAGTAATCATTATCATAGTTATTATATAAGAAAAGAAAAAAAATATTATCACATGATATATACACGTTTTCACCTTCATTCATATGTATGATTATGTTATATCTATAAGTATATATTGCGTCTCTTAAGAAAATATTAGAAGATAAAAAATATTTGATATCTTTATACGTCAATTTTTTTTTTGTTACGTTTTCATTGAGTTTAATAGATGATTTCATAGTAAACATAAACAAAAAGAACGAATAGAAAAATATT